CCCCCCAACATAAGGAGGGGAGTCCTTCCAACCCCTGACCTAGCAAGACGAGGCAGCCCAGACAGGCTTATACCTCCCCTGTATAGAACGGGGGTCCCTCTGGTGAACATGCCACCACCTGGCAAGAGGAATCCTTGGGAGCCCAGCCAGAAATAAGCCACCAGGGGAGGCACTCTCCTTCCCCACAAGCCAGAGACTGCCCTTTTCCACGAGTCACCTAGGTGGGGGGTGGGCTGAGCCTGGGGAGAAATCCAGCAATAACGGGTGGACTGACTCAGGAAGGACTGACTTCATTCCTTCAACCTAAGATTCTCCTCTCCCATCCAGAGACACTAGGGTAGTGAGGTGGGTTGGGGGGACCAGCTGGGGACCCCCACATCCCTCCTCTACCAAGAAGTACCCAGCCCTCTCAGGCAGTATCTGCGGAGATCAACAGAAGCCCCGGTGGCACCAGATAAACCCATCAGACAAAAGTACTCCTGCAAAGCTGCTGCAAATTATGCTGCTGTTGAAACCGCAAAAGTAGACCAACACCCATGTGCTAACCCCAAGTAGGGTGGTGCCAGCAAAAATAAAATATTTACCTAGAGTGTCCTAACATAACAGACAAAATGTCCAGGACACTATTAACAATTGCCCATCATACCAAGAACCAAGAAAAACACAACTTGAATGAAAAAAGACAATTAATGGATGCCAGCACAGGTGAGTATCAACAAGAACTAAGCAGCCATGTTAAAACTGCAATTAGTCAATTAGAAATTCCTTTGAAATAAGCTAAAAAAAATCTCTTAGCAAAGAAATAATAGTTATATAAAAGAACCAAATGGAAAAAATAGAACTGAAAAATACAATAACAGGAATGAAAAACTTGCTGGGCAGTTTCAATATTGGAGTGGAGGTGATGGAGCAGACTCAGTGAAAGAGGACAGAAGGGCTCACCCAGCCGGAAAAAGAGAAAATAGACTGGGGTCGGTGAGGGGGAGACTCAAAGCCCACAGATCTGAAGGACAATAACAAAAGACCCCACATTCATATCACCAGAGTCTCAGAAGAGAGGAGAGTGGGGCTGGAGCTAAAGAGTATTTGAAAAACCATGGCTGAAAAGAATGATCAAATTTGGTGAAAGACACTAACTTACAGACCCCAGAAGCTGAGCAAACTCCAAACAGGATCAACTGCTGACCTAGTAATAATTATCTTAAATGTAAGTGATCTAAACCAGCGATTTTCAACCTGTGTGCCACAAGAATTTTTACTGCATGCAATACCTGACTACTTTACTTAGTCAGGGGCACTAGCTTCTTCTCCCTTAGACTGTCAAATAGGAAAATTACAGCAGCCAACACACAATAGCTGTCTGGTGTGAATGAAGCAAAATTACACCCATTTTTTTTGTCAAAAAGTTGGCAAAAAATATATATATTTTTGGTGTGCCACTGAATTTTAGTAATTAGTTTATGTGTGGAAAAGACAGAAATTAGAAAGGTGGATTTAAAAACACAACTCAACTATATACTACTTGTAAGAAATTCAATTCAAATTCAACAACATATGTAGGCCGAAAGTAAAATAGAAAAAGATATACCTTGCAAACATTACTTTTATTTCTTTATATTGATTATGCTATTACAGTTGTCCCATTCTCCCCCTTCATTCCCCTCCACTCTGCATATCCTCTTCCACCCACATCCCACCACTTTAGTTCATGTCCATGGGTCATATTTTTAAGTTCTTGGCTTCTACATTTTCCATGCTATTCTTACCATCCCCCTATTTTCTACCTACCATCTATGCTACTTAATCTCTGTACCTTTTCCCTCTCCTCCTCCCACTCCCCTGTTGCTAACCCTCCATGTGATCTCCATTTCTGTGGTTCTGTTCCTGTTCTAGTTGTTTGCTTAGTGTGTTTTTGTTTTTGTTTCAGGTGTGGTTGTTAATAATTGTGAGTTTGCTGTCATTTTACTGTACATGTTTTTTTATCTTACTCTTCTTAGATAAGTCCCTTTAACATTTTCATGTAAGGGCTTGGTGATGATAAACTCCTTTAACTTGACCTTATCTGGGAAGCACTTTCTCTGCCCTTCCATTCTAAATGAAAGCTTTGCTGATAGAGTAATCTTGGATGTAGGTTCTTGCCTTTCATGACTTGGAATACTTCTTTCCAACCCCTTCTTGCCTGCAAGGTCTCTCTTGAGAAATCAGCTGACAGTCTTATGGGCACTCCTTTGTAGGTAACTGTCTCCTTTTGTCTTGCTGCTTTTAAGATTTCCTTATCTTTAATCTTGGCTAATGTAATTATGGTGTGCCTTGGTGTGTTCCTCCTTGGGTCCAACTTCTTTGCGACTCTCTGAGCTTCCTGGACTTCCTGGAAGTCTATTTCCTTAGCTAGAATGGGGAAGTTCTCCTTTATTATTTGTTCAAATAACTTTTCCACTTGTTGCTCTTCCTCTTCTCTTTCTGGTACCCTAGTTTTGCCTGGTTTATCTGTGTGCAAATGTGGTACTGGACATACCGTGCCACCTCACTGGGTCCACCAACTGCCACCCCACACACCCGGTCCACCAGCCACCACTTTGCCGCGCCCCCTCTCTGCCAGGCTGCCAGACTCTGCCTCTCCTACTGGTCTGGATGAATGTGTCTACTTTAACTCTTTGGTTGTCAGACTTCCATACAGTTTAATTTTCTGTCAGTACTGGTTTTTTGTTTTTAAATTGCTGTTGTCCTTATTTTGGTTGTGCAAAGAGGCACAGCATGTCTACCTATGCCTCCATCTTGGCCGGAAGTCTTCAAACGTTAATTTTAAAAGTGACTCTATTAATGTCTGATACTACAAAGAAAATTACTACAAAAAAGAGGAACAATACATAATGATATAAGGATCAATCCACCAGGAACACAAAGGTTTAAAAAATGTATACACACCAAACAAGAGAGCTTCAAAATACATGGAGAAAAAGAAAACCTGATAGAGCTAAAAAGTGAAATAGGTGAGTCCACAGTCATAACTGAGGACTCAACACCTTTCTTTCAGCAAATGATAAAACGAATAAAAATCGAGGACAGAGATCTGAATGACACTACCAATCCATAGGAGTTAGCTAACGTCCACATGACACCCCACCCAATGCCACCAATACACATTTTTCCTTCTAAGCACCTGTGGAACATCCCCCAAGTCAGACCACACTCTGGGCTGTAAAACAATTTTAGTAATACAAAAAGTGGTAAAATCATACAGCATGTCATCTGACCATGATGGAATCAAGCCAGAAATCACTAACAGAAAAACACATTAGGAAAATAAACACATGGCTAAAATTGATCTATAGGTTTAATGCCATGTCTATCAAAATCTCAGTAATACTTTTCATAGGCGTAGACAATAAACATAGAAAAAACTTATTTAAAAAGTTAAATGAAAAGGCCCAGGGCTGCCCTGACAGGTGTGGCTCTGTTGGCTAGGCATTGTTCTGCAAAGTGAAAGGTCACTGATTTGGTCACCAGTCAAGGCACAAGCCTGGGTTACAGGGCAGGTCCCCAGTGCGGGGGCTGTGACAGGCAACCGATTGATTTTTCTTTCCCTCTCTTCCCCTCTAAAAATAAACTTAAAAAAATTAAAAACAAAAAAGAAAAGTCACAGGGCCTTGACTAATTAAACAATGTTGGTACAGAATACAGTGGGAGAACGTGCTCTCTCTGGCAGTAAGGCTTCCCACACAGCCACAGTGATCCAGAGCGTGGTACCAACAGAGGGACAGACACGTGGCTCAGTGGGACAGAACAGAGGACCCAGAAATAGGCCCATACAACTGATATTTAACAAAAGCACAAAAGCGAGTAACTTTGCAACAAATGACGCTAAAGTAACGGGACATCCATAGGGGGAAAAAGGAAACTTGGCCTAAACCTCACCTCATACAAAAAAAAACTCCAAATAATCACAGACTTAAATGTAAACCTATAAAGCTTCTAGAGAAAAACAGGAGAGAATCAGGATCTTGTAGGATACAGGAGCCTACAAAGGTGATTAACTTGTATAGAACAATGCATCAAATGGGTACAAGGAACACTGGGAAATCTGAATAAGATCAACGGATTGTATAGGAGCTGAAGTCCTTGCTGTGATGTAGGAAAGTTTTACAAAACCTTACTGGGCAAGGTGTAGAGAACCCCTTTTATTTTTTACAGTTGCCTGCGGTACAATGATCTCATTATAAATTTCAAAAAAAAAAAAAAAAAGGAACACTTAATATATTACATGAATAACATCTCTTCACTTTTACAACTGAAGGAACTGAAGTGGGGTGCTTGGTAACTGACCTAAGATGACAGAGCTAATAAGCAGATGGGCTAGGATTAAAAATTCAGATCTGTATATGTCGACAGTCCAAGCTATTCTGGCTTATAACTCAGAAAATAATGTAAATGACATAAGGACTCAATTAGTTGCTTAGAGAAGTAAAAAAAGTATTTCATTTCAAAAGGTTGTGTTTTCCGCTAATAGGATATAAATTAGAAAGCTTTTTAAAATTTTATTTTTAAAAAATATTTTATTTATTTTTTTAGAGAGGGGGAAAGGTGGGAGAAAGAGAGAGGGAGAGAAACATCGATGTGTGAGAGAAATGTTGACTGGTTGCCTCTTCCATGTCCCCAGCTGGGGACCTGGCCTGCAACACAGGCATATGCCCTGACTGGGAATCAAACCAACAACCTTTCAGTCTGCAGACCTGCACTCAACCCATTGAGACACACCACCCAGGGCTAAATTAAAAAGCTTTTTCTTTACAGTGGGATACTAAGAATTAGGTAAGAGCCAGGTAGGTATGAAGACTATTTTAAAAATAAGGAATTTCACTTTCAGATTCCCAAAAATAGTTAGTTTTATTCTAAGAATTATAAAATTGAATTGTAAGATCATTGATAGGAAAACAAACACCAAACAGCACCCACATCAGCATGATGTCTGGCTTCTTGAAAAAATAAAACTACGAGTCAAGTTTCAGCAAAATAATTTTATTTCCTAACACACACTAAACATATACATCCAATATCTTGCACATTTATTCACAAATGACTTTCAAATTCCAATAACTGTTTTGATATTTAAGCATGAACTAGAAGTTATCTTAGTTGCAATATGAAAAATGCTTTATATGGATAACACACTAAATATATTGGATTGGTCACAAGAGTTTGCTTTGGTAGATTAGTTCTATAAATTTAAAGTTTTGAAAAGCCACTACTTTTGCATCTAATACTTCCAGATGAATAGGATGCAGCAATATCCGCTTGTATCTGGGACACTTCCTTAGTTTTTCTGGTGATGGAACCACTTGTCCACTACATTCAGAGAAAAGAAAAGCAAATTAGAATACTCATTAATCAAAATACACCCAACATATAACAGAATAATATACCTGCTCTAATGTATCCTATTATGCATTACCTTAAAACAAACTTTCATACATGTAGTTTCATTATGGCAAATACAGGTAATTTAACACTGTGTTTTCTTCTGGGCTTCCTTACTCTTGATACTAATCATATAAAAGTGATTCTCACCAGTAGAATCTTACAGCAAATTCTATATCTATGTGGGCAGAGAACTGCCCTTTGGGGGAAGCAGCCTGCGGCCAGACAGAGACCCAGAGCCCACCCTTCTCCAGTGTCCACGAAGCACCTACCCGGAACCCGGGGAAGAGCGGGTCATGGTCTGGAAATGGCTGTGACTGGGTTGGCACCAAAGCTGGTGTTCCACATACACTATGGAACGCTGTGGACGTTTCTTCCCCCTCCCTTCTTTTCTGACTGAATACGGTGTGTAAGATTTGTCTATGATTTCCCCACACGTCCACATAGTACTTAATGTTCCTGTAGTGGAACACTGATCTTACCATCTGTGGGTATTGTGCAGGCAGAGTCACATGGTGGTGGCAACTAAAATAAATTATTAAAATATATTAGTTTAATCCTATTTTTTAAAAAGTTAAGAAAGTATACTGACATAAAAATTAAAATGAATCTGAACAGAAGATGATTATCCTAATTTTTAGGTTCTAAAAAGAATAATTTACAGGGCCCTGGCCAGGTGGCTCAGTTGGTTCGAGCATCATCCTGTGCACCAAAGGGCTGCAGGCTCGGTCCTCGGTCAGAGCTCATCCAGGAGGCAACAGATCGATGTTTCTCTCTCTCAAATCCTTGGGTGAGGATTAAAAAATAATAAAAAATAATAATTTATAGGGACAATGCAAGTTTGCTCTACTACTAAGAAATGCTAAATTCAAGCCTCTTTTAATGACACACAAGGGAATAGATAAAATAAATGTATTTTGAAATAAAGAATAAAAATATTTACACACATATACTGATTTCATATATTATATATTATATATAAATATAAATGTAGATAGAGTGTTCTCATTGAAAAGTTGTGATTGCTAACCAATGACTTTTCTAATTTTTCTTATTCATTTCAACTTGGTCAGGATTCATTTATAGAGATAAATATCTACATGCATTGGCTTCATCATTAAATTGTTATTTTTCCTCTTACTCAATTACAAAGCAGTAAAAAATTAGACCTCATTTTCTTTTATTTTCCTTAATTAATATTGAAAATGAGAATAAATTAAGATCGTCTAGTTCACTATTCTGGTTAATCCAAATCAGATAAAGAATAGTACAAAAATTACTTCTCAGATAAATAATGTACTACCTTAAGTCTTTTCTAGGACTAGGAACTGGAACCCCCCCAGAGCCTGCTTCTGTGTGCTTGTGGTCTGTAATGCCAAGACTGCACACAGTGATGTGTACAAAGAGGGTGCTCAAACATCAGTTGAAAGAAGTACTTCTCCCTACTTAGCACCCTATTTTTAGCCCCCAGATATGTGCTTTTTCAAGGAAACTTTTACGTACAGCATTCACGATGGCTTTGGCAGAAGCAGGGTCACACTTGAAGGGGCTCTCCGACACTGTGGTATTCATGCTATTAAGTAAGACAGAAGTAGACATGAGGTGCAGTAACAGAAACTGCTCTTAAGAGTTAAAAAAACAAGCTGAAGATGGTAGACAAGATGAGATTCAATTTTGGTTCAACTGATGTTCAAGGAAGAACCTCACGTTTACTCAAGGTGCAGGATACAAAACCAATATACACAAATCTGTCGCATTTCTATACATCAATCACAAACTACTAAAAAGAAAAATTAAGAAAATAATCCTACTCACAGCTACATCAAAAAGAATAAAATACCTAGGAATAAATTTAACCAAGAAGGTAAAAGATTTATAGAGTGAAAACTATAACATATTAATAAAAAAATGAAAAAAAAAACTGTAATACCATCTAAATAATATATTATTTATAGATACATATTATAAAGTAATATAATAATGTCCACTAAAATAAATGGAAATATATCCTATGCTTATGAACTGTCAGAATAAAGTTGTTAAAAATGTCCATACTGCCCAAAGCAATCTAGATTAAATGCAATCCCTATCAAAATTCCAATGGCATTTTTCATGAAATTAGAACAAATCCTAGAATGTGTATGGAACCACAAAATACCCCATATAGCCAAAGCAATCTTGAGAAAGAAGAACAAAGCTGGAGGTATCACCCTCTCTTATTTCAAACTACATTAAAAAGTTATAGTAATCAGAACAGTGTAGTAATGGCATAAACACATAAATCAGTGGAACCAGAGAGCCAGAAATGAAACCCACACATATACGGTCAATAATTTATGACAAAGGGGCCAAGAATGTGCAATGGAGAAAGGGACAGTCTCTTCAATAAATGGTGGTGGGAAAACTAGACAGTCACCTGCTAAAGAATCTTGTACTATACACAAAAATTCACTCAAAATCAATTAAAGACTTAAATGTAAGACGTAAAACCATAAAACCCCTAGAAGAAAACAGATGGTAAGCTCCTTGACATTAGACACCAAAAGCAAAGGCAAAAAAAACAAAAATAAACAATTAGGACTACATCAAACTAAAAAGTTTCTGCACAGCAAAGAAAATAATAAAAAAAGAAAATGAAAAGGCAACCTACGGAATAGGAGAAAATATTTGCAAATCATACTAATAAGGGCTTAATATCCAAAATATATAAAGAACTCACACAAATGAGTAAGAAAATAAACCCCAACAAACAATCTCACTCATCAGGGAAATGCAAATCAAAACCACAATGAGATTATCATCTCACACCTGTTAAAAGTCAATTATCAAAAATACAGACAACAAAAAATGTTGGTGAGGACATGGAGAAAAGGGCACCCTTGTGCACTGTTAGTGGGAAATGCACATAGTCACTATGGGAAATAGTGTGAAGATTCCTCAAAAAACTGAAAATGGAACTACCATGTGATCCAGAATTCCACTTCTGGATATTTACACAATGAAAATAAAAATAGTAATTAAAAAACAGATATAGTGCACCCCCATGTTCACTGTAGCATTATTTATAATAGCCAAGATATGAAACAACCTAGGTGTCCACTGACAAATGAGTGGCTCCAGAAAATGTCATACATATGTACACAATGCAGCATCATTCACCTACAGAAAGGATGAAATCTTGCCATTTACAACAACATACATGGAACTTGAGGGCACTATGTAAGTTAAATAAGTCAGACAGATAAAGACAAATACTGTATGATCTCACTTATACACTTGACCCTTGAACAACAGGGGACTTAGGGGGACCGATCCCCCGACGTAGTCAAAAATCTGCATATAACTTTTTGACTCCCCCAAAACCTAACTAATAGCCTACTATTGACCAGAAGCCTTACTAATAACAAAGTTTATTAACACATATTTTGTATGTTATATATATTATATACTATATTCTTACAATAAAGTAAGCTACAGAAAAAAAATGTTATAAGAAAATCATAAGGAGCCCTGGCTGGTGTGGCTCAGTGGACTGAGTGCTGGCCTGCGAACCAAAGGGTCACAAGTTCGATTCCTAGTCAGAGCACATGCCTGGGTTGTGGGCCAGGTCCCCAGTAGGGGGTGCACGAGACACAACAACACATTGATGCTTCTCTCCCTCTCTTTCTCCTTCCCTTCCCTCTTGTCTAAAAATAAATAAATGAAATCTTTAAAAGAATCATAAGGAAGAGAAAATACATTTACAGTACTGTATGTATTTATTGAAAAAAATCCACATGTTAAGTGGACCCATGCTCTTCAAACCCATATTGTTCAAGGGTCAACTGTACATAAAATATTCATTTTGTAATCGGCCATCTGCTGAATTCTTTATTTTCTCTAGGGTTTTCTGAGTACAAAATCATATCATCTGCCACAACATGCTCCGCATTCTCCAACATTCCTGAATCAAAACACATCATTTCTTTGTTGACTACTATTGCCGGAACAATGTTAGTTAAGTGATGATAGTGGACATTCTCTTATAAATCTTTAAATACCTAAGAAGTATATTGTCTGACCTTGGGTTAGGGGCCAGATAGACTTGGATACGAGTCCTAACTCTGAAACATTTACTGTGGAATGACTTTGGTTAAGTTTAATCTGCCTACACCTCTGTCACATGCTTGGCAAACACTTACTGGTCAATAAATATTTACTATCATTAGTGGCAGTAAATTGTGCGTGCATGGTAAATAGTGGTTTGGTTGTGACGCACCTTACAGATTTATATCGGAGAACACTAACCCTTGCACCCAGCCTTATTTTACCTGCGACATTGTGACCCCCTGATGGTAGGAACCTTTCCCAAACACCCTCATGAAGCTCTGATCTTGCTGTTGTCCTCAGAGTTTTAGTTCGTCTTGTTCAGAGTATCTTATGGGCACTTTCAGGTGTTTGTCTGCCTTCCCACTTAAACACTGAATGACAAAATCAATGATCTCTTTTCTAAGTCAAAGTACCAGTTCAGTGTGTCCTGGTACTAAAGCCTTCAGAGCAAGCTGGTCTGCTTTGTGCGTCAGACACGCACAGAGTCGATGCTTACCAACTGATGTCTTTTCCATCGACTTTCTTTGCCACTAGCGCTTTCCAAAAGTTGTGAGTGCTTTTAACTATATCAATTGCAAAGTCCTGTAATTTGAAGAGACATGCATAACAATTAGAAAAGTATTCGTAGGATTATTTTCCCAAAGCCTGCTAACTTTGTATCTTTTGAATCATTTCCATGGGTCAAAAATGGAAAACATTTAAGTGGATAAATCAACATTAAGACTGCCATGTCTTTAGGTGGTGTTTAAGTGATCATGCAGTATTTAAGTGGCAACAGTAGTTTAAAGTATAAATCTCAATACAAGTAGACCTGAAGCTACAGTTCCAAATGACATATTACCTTATCTTTAAATTCTGCATTGAAAGAAAACTGGTTCTCTGGTTTTCCATCGGGAACCTTGTACCTTCTAAACCAGTCCACAGTAGCTTCTAGGTAGCCAGGTTTCAGCCGCTTGACATCATCAATATCTTAGAAGAGAAGAAGCAGATTGCAAGATGCATATGTAATTATTTATGTGACAAAAATACTAAGTATGTATTTACTTTAAAAGAGCTTTGGGATGATTATTTTAAAAAGTTCAGGATAATGTAAGAACTAACCACCTTGTTGAGGGGGGGACACTTAGACACATTAAAAGGAAACCACCGAGTGAGTTAGAACAGCTCTGACATTCAGTAGTAAGGGAACAATCAGTACAACAGGAACTTCTACTAGATAAGAAGAGAGATAAATGATTGGGGCCACATAACGAGAGAACAGTTTGGCAAGTGTGGATAATTTCTATGAGGAGAGATATTAAAAAAAAAAGACAGGCTGAAGCTACATTCTCAAAAGTACACCAAAATTATGTACTGGAAAAAAAAAGAAAAATGGATTTCACTGATATTCACCATGCATTACATATTAAATGTGACTATTCTAACTATACTATTGGCACTCTGTATCACAATGCTTTAGTTCTGGCCAAGAGCAAAGTGTCCTGTTTAAAACACTTTTTAGTTTCTGTACAGCCATCAACAATGGCTAGCCTCAGTCAGCTTTAAATGGCCAAGCTGCCACACAATGCAAGCAAGCACAAGACACAAGTGCTAAGAAATCAATTAGGAGAAGTATTTTTGGAAGGAGGAATATGTTAAACAACAGAAGATTATTGGTATTTATATGAAATAACGTTGTTTAAGTCCAATTTATAACATAAACAGTTAAAGAATATAATGCATTTTATTTCATAGTACCACTAAAAGTATGGAAAGTTTACAAAGTGAACTGGGAGCTGTTTAAACACTGATACATTTCGTCATTTTTAAAAATTTACTTTATTGGTTTGAGAGAGAGAGAGGGAGAGGGAGAGAGAGAGAGATTGTTCCACTTATTTATGCATTCATTGGTTGCTCCTTGTATGTGCCCTGACTGGGAATCGAACCCACAACTTTGGCATACCAGGACAACACTCTGAACAACTGAACTACCAGGACAGGGCACACTGATAAATTTCAAGGGACTTATAATTCACATAAAATGTGTCACCTAATACAGAACTAACTGAAAAATCCAGAAATCCAAAATGGAAGTATGGAGTTTGTTCCAACAAGTTTTCTGACCAATTTTCCTATTCTTCAGGCACAAGAGGAGTGTCCAACAACTTAATTTAATATTGGCACTACTGGAATTAGCGTCAGATCCCACAAGTTAAAGGACTTGGCCCAAAAGACTTGGCCTGTTTCTGGCAGATCCCAGGCCACCCATGCCTCGGGCAAACCTGTATACACCGGGGTTTCCCACAACTCTCTCTCTCAGGTTTAATAACTTGCTAGAATGACTCACGGAACTCAGGGAACCACTTCAGTTATGTTAACTAGTTTATTATAAAGCATATAACTTAGGAACAGTCAAATAGAAGAGACGCATAGGGCAAGGTATTGAGGAAAGTGGGGTATAGAACGTCCAGGTCTTCTCAGGGTGGGTGTCCCACCCTCCCAGCACTTTCATGTGATCACCACCTCAGAAGGGCTCTGGATGTCATTAAGGTCATCCCTCGCCATGGTGCAGTTCACTTATTTTGGCTTTACTGTATCACGGGGTTTTTTTTTTTAAATACATCTAATTCTGTATCGCGGAGTTTTCACTATATTGTGGGATTTTGCAGTATATAGGTATTTATATAATATTTATGACTTTAATTATTTTTGCCAAAAAACTTAAAACAATATAAAAATATAAAATGTTAATTCAAACATATTAAAAGAATTTAAATCAAAATAAAATACAATATGTATTTCATCAGGGGATGAGTACCTTACTGTACACAATGGAAATGCAGTACACCACTACTGCTTGTGCAAGTTTGCCAACATGAGATTGTACACGGCACACTACTGGCTGATGGAATGGAAGGCGACCAACCACAGCACTGTGTTCTATATCCTGGGTGCTGACTGGCTCAGTGATCATAGCAGCGGTCTGTTTGCTCTCCCACACTGAGCCCACAGTTCAGCATCTCTCCTTGTCCACTTCACATTGACATCTGATCCCTGCATGTAGTGTTGCTCTGCGGTGCTGTGTTTTTGTGAAATTTTCATAAAAGTTTGAATTGATTTCAAGCCCTACGATGACACCCAAACGTTCTGTGCCTTCTAAGGCTTCTGGCAGTGAACCCAAGCACCAGAGGAATATGCTTACCATCAAAGAAAATGTGGAACTTCTCAACATGTTAAAGGAAGGCAAAAGCTATGCGGCTGTAGGCTGCCATTACGGGATCAACGAATCTACTGTTTGCTACATACAGAAAGATGAGAAGAATAGTAGGTCTACGGCAACAATGACTTTTAACAAGACTGCAAGGAGGGCGGTCACTTCCCGCAATAAGGCCATTGTGAGGATGGAGTCTGCATTGGCCCTGTGGATAAATGACTGCAGGAAGAAGAATATCTCACTGGATACCAACACCATCCAGACTAAGGCCAAGAAACTTTATGACAGTTTTGCAGAAAGCACGGACGTTCACAATGGTGACGAGGATGAAGACGAGGACAACGACGCAGAAGCAAGACCATCGAGTGCCTCTCCCACCAGACCAACCCCATTCAGTGCCAGCAAGGGCTGGTTTGACAAATTTCAGAGATGCTTTGGACTCAAGAGCATTTCTCTGCATGGAGAAGCTGCCTTTATAGATAAAAAGCAGCACCAGCAACTCCCCATAACTATGTTCATCACTTGGCCAAAGAGATCAGTTACGCCTACGCCTTTAGAGGAAACAGAAGTTACGGCCCAGGGTGAAGATACTGCACCACCTGATGAAGCACCTGATGAAGTGGTGCCTTCAGAAGAGCGGTACTGCTCTTCTTGGCTGTGCAGTGCATTCACCTCATTGTCATCACCTTCATCGCCATCAGTACTGCACAGCTACAGAATTCATGATCTTCATCATTCAAGTTGTAGTATACTTCACTGGTGAGTACCCATATAGAATTTTATATGTTGCTAAAATTACATAGGTTTAAGAGCACAGAAAGTGTTTAAGAGCATATGAAGTGTTTATAAGAGTGTGGGAAAGGTTAGTAAGAGAATGGGAAAGGTTTATAGGAGTATGGGAAGGGTTTATAAAGCCTTAAAATATACATTATAAAATAAATATAACGCCGCTACTTCGTGGATGTTCACCTATCACGGGGGTCTCTGAAACGTAACTCCCACGATAGGTGAGGCATCACTGTATTCCAGAGTTTTAAAGAGCTCAATATATAGCCCCTCTCCCCAAGTTGGCAGTGACCTTGAAAGTCCCCACCCTCTAAGTCACTTGGTCTTTCTGCTCACCAGTCCCAGCCAGAGGCTAGCTAGAGGCCCCACCCTAGATCTCCTTATTATCATAAACTCAGGTTTGAACAACGAGGCTCATCCTGCACAACAAAAGACACTCATGATTCAGGAAATTCCAAGGGTTTTAGGAACTTTTTGTGGGAACTGGAGACAAACATCAAATATATTCTGTATTATACCATAGCAAGAAAAAATATATAAAAGTTGACCAACTCTCTGACTGTGAACCAGACATTGAAAGGTGTGCTAGATCCAAACTAAGGAACCCTGACTACCAGACCCAGGAAAAAAAAACTAGGAAAAAACATCTCCTTTTGTAATGGCCACATAGTATTCCATGGCCGGGACAGCCCATAATGATTTCCATCTAACTTTGGGTAGCTTTTTAAGCTCTTCCCAGATTTTTGCTACAAGGGCACAAACAGTGCCACAGTGAATACCCTTGTACATACATCTTTGTGTATATTTGTAAGAAATTATGTGGACTAGATTCTTAGAAGTACAGTTGTTGGGTCAAAGTGATATTGATCATAGCACCACTTTTCAATCAATGTTCTAAAAAAATCAATCTTATTTAGGATATTTGAAAAATATTTCTTGTATAGAACCTGTATAGAAAGTGAAAGTGGCAGTTCATCTTTCATTCATATGGTGCTTTTGACTTTACAAAGCCTGTTCCCCTATGGTCTCTCATTCAGTTGCCCTCACAAAATCATGGACTTACAGATAATTATGAACTTCATCCAAGTTAATATATGGTTAACAAGTCAAACAATCCACATCTTAGCACCTGGTCCCATCCCCTTTCCAGTAAGAACATAAATGTTTCTTATTTATCTTTCTAAAGATATCTTTCCCCCTAGAGAGGGGACAGGAGGGAGAAAGGGAGAGAAACATCAATGTGTGGGTGCCTCATGAGCACCCCCTTACTGGGTACCTGGCCTGCAACCCAGGCACATGCTCTGACTGGGAATTGAACCAGCAACCCTTTGGTTTGCAGGCCAGCAATCAATCCACTGAGCCACACCAACCAGTACTTTCTTACTTATCTTAGCAAGACAAATCTTAACAAGATAAAAAACTTTCTTGGCACAGCACTACATGGTAATGACAGAATAACAGTGCTGTGAGATGGCCTTGCTTATCCGTCTGTGATTAAGAAAATACAATGCCTAGGAAAAGATTGTTCCACTGCCAGGATATCTGAACTCAGGTACAAATTCTACCACCAACTGGCTGTAGGCTAGTTGCTGTTATCTCATTAACCATCTATAACAATCAATACTCCTCTTTTGTAATGAATGTAAAGATGTTGGCTCTTGCATAAAAAATTTCAAATTTTAATTTGGTTACCAGAATCAAAATGCCGTAATCAGACCTAAGAACTCAACAGGTAAGTTGTAACATGCCAGATAAATGACAATGTTGTCCCCTGCAGTTCTGAGGCACAGAAATCATACGATCTCCTGGTGGAACACTTAAATCTTTGACATGTACACCTTATTAATGAGTCTGATAACGCTGAACTTGATGTTGTTAGGGTAAATGTGGCCTCAAAGGTTATCAAGGCCCCAGTATACCAGTTGCTTTGCACTGGTTGAGTCTTTCGAGTGTGCAAAACATTCCGTTTTCTAACCATGGGTATGATATA